AAATTGGGGCCATAATATTGGGCACCCGAGCCCTTTTTTATTTTTCCTCTCTTCATGTCGAGTGTAGGACACGTGCCAGAGGGATTTTATTATTAAATTAGGGAAGCTTTAGAAATGATTGGTGGGGAGAGGATCTAAGAACAAGGGGCATTTGCGGGCAAAATCGACCAATCAAATCAAAGACTTTGTAGGGAAAACGACAAGCGCGGATGCAAGAGTCCCAGACGGTAGGCCTCGCTCTAATCCGAACGCGGAATAGTGGGGCAGAAAGAAAGGTGTATTTATTTATTCTTAAAAGGCTCTCTGAAAATGATATCGATTAATGACAGTTTAAAACAACTTATAAGTAGTTTATAAATAATTTTTTAATAATAATTTATGAAATACGAGACAATATATATAAAAATTTTTTATCTCCATTTATATAAAACCCGAGATTTTCATGGCTTTATCAAACAGGACCTAAATTAACAACTCTCTCATTTTTCCCTCGTTGGATAAGGATATAGGCTCCCAGTTTTAATTCATAACAATTTCATCCTCGTAAATCATATGATTTGAGAGATATTTTATCACACATTAAGTAACAATTATTTTCAAACAAAATCAAAACTTGAAGATGACCATTATTTCCTCTATGTTTTCTCGTCTCTCCTCTATCCAAACACAATATTATCTCTTCAGCTTTCTTTCTTCCAACTTTCCTCTACATCCAATTGGAAGGTTAGTGCGTGCATATCCACATTGCTTCTGATCAGGCTGCGGCGTCCAACAAGAGATCTGCACAAAATTATCATCATCGGTGGATCACAGAGGTGCTGCCATGTCGCAGCGCATGGAGATTTCCATCGCCGCAGTGAGAGGATTGTCACGTGTTCACTCGCCGGTTAACTAAAACACGTAATTAAAAGTAGGGAGGCAGAATGAAAGCATCATCACATCAAAGTTGAACCCTTGCCACAGGCAAAGTTAAAGTTAAAGTTAAAGTGAAGTAGCAGAGTTCAATGAACTAATAACATGGTGGAGGTGGGAGTGAAAAACACACCATGTCCATGCCCTGAGTTTCTCCAAGCCATCGTCAAAGTGCACTTCCCATCACCATCAGGCTCAAATTAGGTTTTAACCAATTCTTTTAGTGGTAGACAAAGATGCTGATACAGCATGTGATAGGTCTGAATCCATAGTGCTGAATTCAATCCTCTATCTTTGTGGTCCAAATAATGCAGCAATGCCACCCATTAATGAGGAGGTAAAAACACATCAGAAGTTTGATCAGATGTTATCCTGGTCGAGGATGAAAATTCCAAGTCATATTCACAAAAGGGGTGCAAAAGGTTCAGCCAGGAAGTAAAGTTTTCCTCCTCATGTGTTTTAAGTTAGGTATAATCTTCCCAGCATTTACCTGTTAGATTCACTGGGTTAGGTTCTCACAAATAGCCATAGAATAAAAGAAATCAGTGCAATCCAGAGGAGTCGATGTGAAACGAAGCATCCTTAAGATTATCAGGTCAACAATGACACAGTTGAGATGAGCCATCATCCACATCAAAAATTAGTTTCTAGCATTGACGAGTTCGAACCCCACATCAGGGTCCCATGCCTCAGATGTAAGACGTAAACACTATAAATTGGAACGGGTCCTAACAATGTCCAACCAGTATGTATAGTCAACGGTACAGTCAACACAATGTGTAAATAAATATTCTCAGGCCTTTGGCCGCTGGTCCAGTCAAAAGAAAATATTACTCAGTTATGCACACACAGGCATAGAGTAACAAAGAAAGGGATGTCATATAAAAGTGTCAGCATCATGCACTAAGTTCGTGTACAATAGAATCCAAACTCCTAGATGAGAGGCAAAAGGCGATGCATGAGTCGCACAAAGAACCGCCACTTCAAACGAAGTTTCAGAATATTTCACGCACACCATAAATTCAATAGTTCCCTTTAGAAAGTCAGAAATAGCACAGAAATTACTTCAATAAATCATTTCGTTGATGGAATTCTTGTCCAGGCCCGACCCTAGGGCCAGCTAAAATAATCTTTATGCTTTCAAGCACCTTGGGCACTTGGCAGAAACTCAATGAAATAAGAAGCTGTCTTAAGCATTAAAAATGTACTAGAATCGCCAATCTAAACTCAACAGTTCGGCTGAAGACCAGGCCAACATATTTTGAGCTATTGATCTTCACTGTTTTAGCTAAACTATTAATTTCAAATCCAATCGAATCCGGTTCAGTGCTATCACATCATCAGGCGCCCAAGTTATACTGGCATTGCCTTGTGACATCCAGAACTTCTCATCTCAAGGATGTGCACCCCGTCATATCATTACTCACAAAGCAAACTGAGAGTACCATATTCAACACTTCGTGATTCATCATCGGAGAAACTAGTATCTAAAGTGATCTTTGGAAATCAGAATTGCAATTTTGAAAAATAATTTAAATTTAAAAATTGTTTACAAGAGGCAGTAAACGAGAAAATTTTAAAACTTGCACATGTTTAAACATGGGAAATTAAGGTCATCAAAATCACAGAGCAAATACGGCAGGATCAGATTGAAGGTTTTGATCAATGCAGAAAGCAGAGTGATAGCAGGACAGTGCTTGAAGTTAAGGCAAGCAAATAACTGTCGGGAGAATTCTAGGTTATCATTCCATGCTAGAATGCAACCCACGCCTTTTGATCCAACCCTTTCACCAAGTATAAACAAGGCGTGATTTTGATATAGAAGAGGTTGCGAGAGTCACAATGCCATAACTTGGACAGTGACAGGGGCCCTCTTCGATTCGATTTCGCCTAAACTTCAAGCACTGTCACCACTCACCACCAGCATAATCTCCCTGCTCAGACCTTTTACAATACCATCATTTCCATGCCAAATTAATTCATGAAGATGCGACGCAGAAATAGGTAATTGTTGAGAGAGAAGAGGAACAAAAGGAGCGAAGGAGGCTGCTGTAAGGACCCTAGCGCGCCGCCCATGGCTAGCAAGCGAAGGGTTCGGCAGTGGGAAGCTGGGAATGAAAAAAATGATTAGGGATTATATAAATTCATCTGAATGTGTGGGCCTAAACCAGCCCAACAGTGATTTGGGCAATGGTTGAGTAAGGATCGACCTTTTTCCCTCTCGGAATCCATCAACGATTCGGCTGTGATACTCGATGTAACTAGCCTGGGATTGTGAGTAATGCAAGATTTGGATCTGCTTTTTGGTTGGGCCTTTCTGAAATCCTAAAGAATCTTGTTCAAGAGATTTTATTTATTAAATTATTAAATTATTTTTTTTAAATATGCATTGATAACTAAAAGAGCAGTCGTTTACAATTTAAGATGTAATGATTAATAACTATCACGGCAGGTATTAACAATATATTTTTTCACCATATCACAAAAATATAATACATCACAAAAATGTAATAATTTGATGATTTTAAGAAACTTTTTTATATTTAATTCTTTTAACTGGGATTTTATTGTAATTTTTTCTATATTTTTAGGTCGGCCCTAACATAATGTGACAAATCAATATGTAAGTTCTATTTAGAAGATGTGCTCAAAAAAATCTCATGACTTGAATTTAGGAGTTTTTTTTTGGGGCCTTAGGAGTCTTTTATTTATTATACTTTTTTTAATCATAAAGGCAATAACTAATGGAGATATTTATTTTGATCATAAATTTAAGGTTCTAATTAATTTTATCTCTAAAATTATAATTTTTCTCAAACTATGTCTTTTTAATGGTACATATTAAAAAAGGATTTTGTTGTGAGAGTGGCTCCTTCCATTATAAATGATTAAAAAGGTATGTTAAGAAATTACGAGATATTTATTTATCAATAACTAATTAAATTAATTTATTTAATCTTTATAGATTAATTATTTAGTTATTATATTCAGAATTAAAGAAAGCACTACTTTAAGAAAAAATTTACTCAGGCACCATAGTATTTGTCCACAAAGGCACCAAATTTCCTTTTAAACCAACCAATTCTCCAACGTTAAAGGCACAGCTATAAGATGGGCAAAATAATATTAAAAAAATAGTTTGGTACTTGTTTTAATATAGGCTGGCTTTTGTTAATATCAACGTCTTATCATAAATCAAAAAAAAATTGTTAGGATAAAATTTTTAGATACCAACAATTGGTCTCCATATCTGAATTTAAATTTTATGCATGGGATGAGAGATCACTTTATTTTTAAATATATGCTTTTAAATTAAAAATAATTAGGCAGGGAAAAAATAATGATAACTAGATTAAGTGTCTGGCCAAAAAAAAAACCAGATTATGCGAAAATAAATAAGATTTACAATTCAAAACTCAAATGTTAAAAACTCGCACGTGCACAATAGCCGAGACATCAGACACGCAATGGAACCGCCAAAATACAAGCCAATTCGCGCTTTTCTGAAAAATAAATATTTATTTTTTATATATATATATTTATCGGCTCCCTCCAATTTTCTCTCCACATCGAACTCCCTAATCCCTGGAGTCCAAGAATCCCGTTACGGACCATCTGACGTGCCTCTCCCCTCCCTTTCCTATTTTTATTCCTGAATCATAATTAATATTAATTAATTATTTATAATGAACAGCGCTTTCGTTTTTTGGGCTTGAAAGTTCAGGGATGGAGGCGTCAAAAAATAATACTCCTCCGGTCCTTATTATAAGACCCTATTTGACTTTTTATTGGTCCTAATTATAAGACCCCAATCCATTTTGTCTTTTTATTTATGTATTTTTTTCTAAGATAATCCTTCTAATAATGATAGTTTTAGCCAATATACTTAATTAGCAAGGATATTTTAGGAATGACAACACTTATTTATTATAAATAACCAACTTAACTTACTTCCTTAATCTCCTCAAATAAGTCAATTGGGTCTTATAATTAGGACCGGAGGAGTATAATATTATTGAACACTAAACACTAAACACTATGTTTTATCATATTACGTTATTTTCTATTATATGTGACACATAAATTGGGGACGTTTGATTTTGGACGAACCTTTTCTCTGTTAGATACACAGGGATAGTGCTTTCGTTCTGCGAATTCTCTGTGATTTTTTCTGGAGAAAATTTCTGTATTTTCTTTTTCGAGGGTTTCGGTCTGTGGTTCTTTGATAATTTATCCGAAGGCCGAAGTCTGCATTCCGAACTTTTTTCCATTGCGTGATTTGGAAGGGGAGAGTTTGCGACTTCTTCCCCTTTTTCCTTGGGGTCGTTGATTCATTGTTCGATTGGGGGGCTTTTGGCATCGAGGTTTTGCTAATCTTTGTTGCTGTTACCGCGGGAAAAGCAGGAGGAGATTCGATTATCGCTGTATAATTGTGGAGGATAAATTGCCGGGTCTTTCAGGTTGGTAGCCGAATTGTTGGAACATTGGATTTGATGCTTCGATGTGAAATTAGGGTTTTGGCCCAAGAATTGGGAAGGCGAATTGGTCGTTTCGGATGGTCCCAAGATGATAATTAAGCGAACTATGAAAATTGAAATGCCGAACCTGAAACGGTGTAAGCTAGAGGAGCAGGATGCCGAGGACTATGGGTGTGGGTTGGTTCCAAAGAAACGGAAGGTTAATGGGTTTTATTCCCTTGGTATGCCGGCCGAGGCTGAAGATTTCAGCAGCGGTTCAGGGTCGTGGTGCAGTGAAGGATCGTATTGGGCTAGTGAGGTTCTATCGAATTCAAATTCTACGCCATTGAATAGTAGAACAGCAATGGAACAAGGCTCTGAAAGGATTCGGCCTCCTCTATTGCGGTCGTCTCGTGGCCGCTCTCAAATGCTTCCGTCGAGGTTCAATGATTCTGTTATCGGTACATGGAAGAATCGGGGAATCAAAGTGGAGGACGCAGACTCCAGCTTTGAAGATGATAATATTCTTGTCGAAGATAGGGCGGGGGTTAGTGGATTGGGATTTGTGAAACAGGAAAAGGGAAATAATTATGGCTCCAAGCCTAAGTATTATTCATATCCCGACATGGAGGAGGAGGAGTCAGGATTCAACGACTCCGGTTTAAGCAATTTTGACCCCCGGAAGCTTACAAATTCTTTTAGTACTACTAGAACATCGATCAATGGAAATCGTTCATCAGCAGTTAAAACCGAGAGTTATACGTCTGGTTTAAGTTTTGAGGGTGTGGACCAAAAGCTTGATCGAAATGCTGCGAAAAGGAAAGATATCTACAAACCGGAGGATTTTGCTTTGGGTGACATAGTTTGGGCAAAATGTGGAAAGAGATATCCAGCTTGGCCTGCTGTAGTGATTGATCCTATCTTGCAAGCTCCAAAGTCCGTTCTGAGCTGTTGTGTCCCTGGTGCAATTTGCGTGATGTTTTTTGGGTATTCAAAGAAGGGAAAGCAAAGGGTAAATATCTCTTCATATATCTGGTGATAAAATCTAGTTATTATGTTACCTTTTTTCATGTTAATTTCTGGAGGAATGTTGTTGGGCAGGACTACGCATGGGTGAAGCAGGGAATGATATTCCCCTTCATGGAGTTCATGGACAGGTCTGTTGCAAACCAATATGATCTGCAGTTGTTTCTGCAAGAATGTTGAGAACTTGAGTATTGATATTTATATTTATTCAGATTCCAGGGGCAGACTCGGCTGTACAAGAGCAAACCGAGTGATTTTCAGATGGCACTGGAAGAGGCGTTGTTGGCAGAAGATGGTTTTCTAGATTCACAGTTGGGAGCTGAGCAGATAACTAATGTAGAAGCTCATCCCAATGGGTTTATGGAGGCTACAAGTTTATATGTTGATCCGGATTATGGCTTTCAAGACCAGGTGAGATTAATTTCTCCTCTTCTGTGCTGCATGAGTATGATGAGATGGTTAGAGTGCTTATAACTTGGTTTGGCGGTAAGATTTTATATGTACTTGGCAGTACACTAGATAGGCTGCTGCATACGTTGTTACCCTGAAAGGTAGGATGAGCTATAACTTAATTCAGGAGTCCGTTATTTGCTTCTGCTTTTGAAGTAGAGGTCTGTGTTTTGACATTACACGAAGTACTATTTGGAAGAAATCTCAATAATTTGTGATCATCCATTTTAAACTAGTCATCAAAGCTTTACATTCCCTCGCAAGATGTATGCATATTGTATGAATGAGTGATTATTCTTAATTCATATCACCAATAGTCAAATTGAAAATATTGCCTATATACTCTGGAAAGCTGTGGATATTCATCCGGGGGAAAAATATCATGCAGGATATGAGACCTTGTGCGGGCTGTGGTCTGACTTTGCCCTGCAAAACCATGAAGAAAATTAAGGATTCTAGTTCTTCAGCTCAACTTTATTGCAAACTTTGTGCCAAGGTTTTGGAAAATATCTCATTTCAGATGGTTTCAATTTTTTGTTTAATAGATTTTTAGCAGAGTAATGTAATTTCTAAAATTATGGATGTGTTTTTTTTCCAGTTACGAAAATCAAAACAATATTGTGGCATTTGCAAAAAGATTTGGCACCATTCAGACGGTGGGAATTGGGTGAGATTATCTGATTTCTCAATTATGCTTCTTAATTTTGATATAATCTCTGGTAGTTTTACTTGAACAAGTGATGCATGTATATATTATGCGGCTTTTCTTATTGAATCAGGTGTGTTGTGACGGTTGTAATGTTTGGATTCATGCTGAGTGTGCTAGAATATCCAGTAAACTTTTTAAGGTGTGTTATCATGGTCAATATTATGCTACATCTCTGGTATGCTTATTTTTCCAAGTTCACAAAGTGATGGCACCGTGAAGACCTTTGATGAGTTTCTGCTTGTAGGATCTGGAACATACAGATTACTATTGTCCAGATTGCAAAGCAAATTTCAACTGTAAATTTTCAGCATCACAAACATGCAAGCCGATAATCAAGTATGTAACAGTTATTTATTGCTTACCTTAACTTTTGTTTGGGAAAATCATGTTGATTTTACTTTAATACTTTTGAAGTTGCTTCCTTCCTTAATCTTATGACTTGATATTGTTTTGAGACAGATCAACAGAAAGTAGCCAAAAGCCTGTTATGCCTGATAAGGTAACAGTGGTGTGCAATGGCATGGAAGGGGATTACATTCCAAAGCTTCATCTGTAAGATTTCTACTCTTTAATAAATGCATATTATGAGTTTTAAGTATATTTGTGGAAATGCTCTATTTGCTCTTGCGATAATGTGTATATGCATTAAGAAAAAAATACGTGTGTTGAAAAACATGCAAAGAAAGTTAATTAGGAATATCACATTGAAAAGCAAATTGCCAACTATTTACATTATTGTCTGTATAAGCTGATCAATCTCAGTCGTTAATAAAAGAACTCTGTGCAGCTTCAAATGGCTCCATCAAAATGCTCATTACTTGTTTCTGTTTCAGAGTTATGTGCAAGTGTGGCTCATGTGGGGTGCGAAAGCAGACACTCAGTGAATGGGAAAGACATACGGGTTGCAGAGCTAAAAAATGGAAATATAGTGTGAAAGTAAAGAGTACAATGCTTCCTCTGGAAAAATGGGTTTGTATCATTTCTTTCTAAATGGAACCGTAGAAATATATTCTTGTGGCTTAGTGCGTGTATTAGTTTTGGTTTAACTGTCATGAGAGAAGATATTTGTAATTGGTAGTATTTCTCTGCACAGTTTAATACTTCCTGCGCCCATTTCTGAGAAGTGTAGACTCCCCAATAATGCTATCCTTTTCTCAATTCGTATTAACATGAAATTCTTCAGATCACAGAAAACAATACACAATGCGGAGTTTCTATGCAGTTAGATCAACAGCAGGTACTTGCCTTTCTGCAAGGTAAATACTTCACTTCATCCAAAGTTCTATCCGTTGACTTTTTATTATTATAATTCATTTCTTGAATATTTTTATTGTGGAAATTCATTTTGTTTTTATTGAATGTCTCAGAGAAGTATGAACCAGTTTATCCGAAGTGGACTACAGAAAGATGTGCCGTCTGTAGATGGGTTGAAGATTGGGATGATAACAAAATTATCATCTGCAACAGGTGGGTCTATAATGTCTGCTTATCTTTGTTCCAAATTTTTATAAAAAATTGTTCATGCATTAAAAGTTTGAATTTGATTTTACTTCCCGTCTTTAGTTGAAGAAATATTATGCACTGTGTTTGCATGTTCATTTTGCAGGTGCCAAATAGCAGTCCACCAAGAGTGCTATGGAGCAAAGAATGTCAAAGATTTTACTTCTTGGGTCTGTAGAGTGTGCGAGACCCCTGATGTTGAGAGAGAGTGTTGCCTCTGTCCTGTAAAAGGTATTTTATTCGTTTGTTCATTTATTTATTTATTTTTGTGTAAAAGGTATGTTATTTAACTTATGTATTATGATTTTCTTAAATTCAGGCAAAAAAGGTTATAATCAACTCAAAACTCTAATATGCTGTCAAGTTCTTTATGCTACTGTTAAGAGATGGATTTATTTTAATAGGAAAGAAAAGTGACTTACCTTACAGTACTCAATATATCTCCTCTTTGGCACTCCATGCTCGTCACTATTTTTTTGGTTGTAAAATAATTGAGGCGAATATCATGAGCTTGATGCAAAATAGTTTATTATTATGTATTTATATGTAAGTTATAACATTGTGGACTAACCATTTGCATCTTGAGCATTGTCAGTTCTGTCTTGCAGAGCTTATTTGTTCTGTTATGTGATAATGTTCTGCAGGTGGAGCTCTAAAGCCAACTGATGTTGAGATGCTGTGGGTTCATGTCACCTGTGCTTGGTTCCGGCCTGAAGTTGGATTTTCAAACCATGAGACAATGGAACCTGCTTTTGGAATCCTCAAAATTCCTCCAAGTTTGTTTTTGAAGGTATAAAATGTGTCATGTGGTTGTCATGGCATTCTTGTTTTGTTGGCTTTAGCTACTGAATTTCGTGTAGCAGTAACTTCATAAATAGTTGACAAGGTCGGACAGAGGAACTGTATACTGTATAGCTTTCCACTTTATACATCATGGCCCTTTTCCTGTTAATCTTATTGATTCATTTAAGGGAAATTTCCTGAGATGGGGGGAGGTGTGATTTTACCCTTGTGTTCTTAATTTTCTTGTTCACGTCAACTGCAGACTTGTGTTATCTGTAAGCAAAGCCATGGATCTTGTGCAAGTTGTTGCAAGTGTGCTACTCATTTTCACGTCATGTGTGCATCTAGGGCCGGATACAGCATGGAAGTAAGTTCGGTGATTTCATTATATATAAATAGAACATTGACACATAATATTTTTTTATGTATTTCATAATTTTATCGTTATTAAGTCCTTGTACGGGAGGGCTGTGGGTACTATTTATATTTAAATCCTTGACTAAGAAGGTTTGTTGGACTATTTTAATTGAACTATACTAGGGTGTACCCAAGCTGATGAAATGTTTCGATATTGTTTAAACTCAGTTGCATTCTCTGGAGAAGAATGGAGTTCAGATAACGAAGAAGTTGATATATTGTGCATTTCACAGGTTGAGTTATTGTCACAGAATAATGATTAATGCCATTTTCCTTGGTATCTGAGTTCCTTGAGAAAATGTAGTTTTATATGTTGATTTCATTGCAGGCTTCCGACCCCAGATTCTGTAATGGTTATACATACTCCCTTGGGGGTCTTCTCTCCCAGAACTTCCCTGCAGAACCATAAGGGATGCTTCAGGGGATCGAGGCTGGTATCATCCAAAAACGTAGAACTTCTTGAATCTTCAGCCTCCGAGACAAATGAATTTGAACCACTGTCTGCTGCAAGATGTCGTGTTTATAGAAGGTCTTCCAAGGTGATGATGATGTTTATCTTACTTTTGCGTGAATGATGTGTTTAGTTCTAGAACTTTTTAAGGCGGTGTCGGGCTTTCTTCCCCCTTCTCCCCCCCTCCCCCTTCATAATTGCTTATGCTGTTGTTGTAGCATGCGATGCGTTTTCTTTGTTCAATCATTATGATCTTGCCATAAACTTGTCGTCTGCATAATTGTAGTCGAATTTCTGTTACATATGGTCTCATTATATATTTTTACTATTTTGCCAGAGGGCCGATGAGCCAATAATACATTTAGTGAGGGGACCAAGTCGTCATTTATTAAGTTCGATTATTCAATTGAACAGCTATAAGGTAGTCTCTGTTTTCATTTTGTTAATGCTATATCTGTTGACCTTTTTAGATAGGTAACCTCTTGTTGAATTCTTCTATATTGGAGATAGTAATTTTTTGTCCTGTTTTGTGATAGGACTCAGAAGATTCAAAAGTATTTACTTCATTCAAGGAACGTCTTCACCATTTGCAGGCAAATGATCGCACTATGCTACAGTTAAACTTTGCATCTGTATTTTTTTCCCTTTAATGTCAATTTTAATTTTTTGCGCATCAGAAAACTGAAAATCATCGAGTTTGCTTTGGAAAATCGGGTATACATGGATGGGGCCTCTTTGCTCGTACAGATATACAAGAAGGAGAGATGGTTTGTACAATTGTACTTGAATGGTTTAGGATGATTTCTGACTAAATGCTAGGTTCAATGCAACTGTTTCTGAAGATGTGTTCATCCAAGTTATTTTTTTATTCAGGTTGCTGAGTACCGTGGTGAGCACGTAAGACGAAGTGTTGCGGATATGAGGGAGGCTAGGTATCGTTCAGAAGGCAAAGACTGTTATGTAAGTCTATTCTTCCTGTTCTTATTCATGGACTCCTCTTTCGTCTACTTGCTATATGTTATAAAAAACACATAAGCCTATCATAAAGTCATTATTAGTGCTATGATGTGTAAATCTTTGATGCTTGAAGGCTTAGGCCTATCTTGCTTGCTTGCTTCTTTCAGACGGGTTTATAATTACTGTGTAGTATAGACTTGATTGTAGTTTGGACCATAACATTTAACTAGATAAATTTATGCAGCTGTTCAAGATCAGTGAAGAGGTGGTCATTGATGCGACACATAGGGGGAATATAGCCCGCCTGATAAACCACTCTGTAAGTTATTTCTGGAAAATGCTGTGATTGAGACGTTGTTTGTTCTCTTTTTCCCAATAGTTTATGCAACGTCAACCAAATTGATCAACTGGTTAAGCCTAGCTGGCTTCACCTCGTTTCATGTTCATCCCTCTCATAGTTGTTTAAATATAAATTTAGATAGTTGCCAAGTGAACCTGATTTGGTTTATTATTTATATATGAATTTTGTTTGGACTATTTAAAAAAAATAATTTAGTTTCCTTTTTTTTTTTTCCCAATGCCATAATATGCGAACAATGAGAAAACAATCTCCTGTAAGTTTAATCTTGCTTCTAATTAGGATACTGACGCCCAATTTGACCTGCCACATGCAGTGCATGCCTAACTGCTATGCTAGGATTATGAGCATGGGTGCCGAGGAGAGCCGGATTGTTCTTATTGCCAAGACTCATGTTTCTGCTGGGGAAGAACTAACGTATGTATTATTTATATTGCACAAGTCCATGGATGGTTTTCTGCTTTAGAGCATGAACGTTTTTAACTGAGTAATCAAATTCCTTTATGTTCAACTAAAGTGAATGGACGGTGCATTGGAAGAAAGAACGAAAAAGAATGAGATAATAGGTGTATAGGTTGGAATGCACTTCGAGATAGTTATACGTTGGCGTCAATCGTTATTTGTGTAGAAGAATATGTGAGATCTAGACGATGCAATTGAATCTGACTAGTACACTACTGACTTTTCTCTTTGTTACATCAGGTATGATTACTTGTTTGATCCGGATGAGCGGGATGAACTGAAAGTTCCTTGCCTCTGTAAAGCCCCAAATTGTAGGAAATTTATGAATTAGGCTTCACAATTTTTTGATATATTGCAACTTAACCTCGCTAACCATAGGGAAAAAATTGTCCGATGTCGCATATTTTTTTATTTTTTTCCCCAACTTCGTATATTTGTATATCATTTGGTTACAAATAAAAGAAGTCCCCCCAGCCACCAGCTGGTGGCATTTTTGTATATCGCCTCATGGTTCTTAGTTATGTTTATGCTCTGCCATTTATAACTTCTGGAATGTATTATAGATATCTCATGCGTATTTAAATGTAAATATGTTCAAGCGAAATTGCTTGGTACTATAAATTTGCGGAACAGTGGCAGGTGGAGATGTTTGAGAGGCATTTTCTTTATCATGAAAATGTTAATATGATCACGAGAATAGAAGGCGAGGATTGAACTATATAGTTCTCGACCTAGATAAATGTGTCAACTGCTGAGGCCCCCTGGGGGGGTTTGCATCGATGACTGAAAAGTAAAAACGGGTTAAATTTCTTAATAATTATCGTGTAAATGCCAAAACAAGCTATTTGCATGAATATGATGTTTATAAAATTGGGCAATAAAATATTTATCCGATAGTCTCGAACCCATCAATTTAAATGAGAACACTGAAGTTTCTATAAAGTTTTACAAATTAAAAAAACGAATAAGCGCATCAATAAATAGTACGAGTACAAACCATTTTACACGACGCACTATGCAAATAATTCCTCTAACTTGACATTGATTGTTTATTGTTTTTGGAGTGTTTTTTGTTTTTTGGATAGAGGGACATTGAATGTTTCTGAACTCTCAAGTTTTATACAAATAGCTTCCCAAGCATTATCTAATAATCGGTGCTGGATCGCTCCATTAAGGGATATCAATCATTATACCATGATATAAACTTTATACAAATAGTCATTGGTTTTTTTAACAAGTAGCCATTGGTTTTTTTTTTCTTTTTTCAACGAAAACCATTTTATAGGTACTTTCTCAATTTTTTAATACCTGCACTTTTTCCTAATTTAATAGTTCAATTTTTTTGCACCGTTAACTTCAATAATTTTGCTCTGATATGTCTAGATAAATTGTGTCACATTTTATTGTTGACCGAACGGACTAATTAAGGAAAAATTATCTGTGCATAGATCTTCGACTATCGAAGGGACTCAACGAAATCACGGCACAACTTATCCACAAGATTCACCTCGATGGGTTGTTTAAAGACGTACAAAGAATTCAACACTGACACGGTGTCTACTACTGAACTCAACGGCTGATCTTATAACGATGTTGAATGACTTGAATCCGGTGGCAAGTGCTCATTTGCCTTAATTGCATACAATGTACTATTTACACGCCACACGTAACACTACAAACCTTCAAACACCGACAAAACTAACATGCCGCATTCGTTAAATTATGTTTTTAACAATTTCGAATAATTAAAACCGAATAAACCAATCAATTCAGAAATAAATCCCTTTTCATGTCAGATTCCATTAAGTAAAAAAGAGCAAAGCTTCAGATTTTACAGCCAGGACATAAAACAAGAACAATGTCACAAGACCACTGCCAGAACTAATAGCAGGGGGGGCTAGGGTTGCCCTGCTTTGACTGTTGTCATGCATCAAACTCAGGAGAAAAAAAAGACATTAGCCAATTGTTTGACCAAAACTGTACAGGGATAAGCTTATATCATGGGAAAGAAACACATACTTCTCACTTTTTGGCAAGCAACTTTTTAGGAAGTTTATCCAGTGGAGTCGATTTTAGAAGGAAAAGCCTGGCAGCACGCTCCTGCAATGTGCCTCCACATTTCAACCCATGTGCCTGCAGTTCGGACTTCAACCTTTCCAGGCCAAGAACCTGCCAAGATCATAGAACCATAAGTAATAATTATATGATATAGTTAGAGCAGATAGTGAGCCTACTGAACTAGCATACTTCAAGAAGTCCATATGAACAGCAAACTCCAAGTTCTACTCATGGCACGGGCACGCAAATTATGATATCCTCCCCACACGAAATACAAAATTAACAAGCAAATACGGACTACATGTTTTCATTCCTTGCTAAAAGTAATATTCAAATATCAAAGAGCACAAGGACATATTTTTAACAATTGTAACTGTCTCCCCAAGTCAAACAAAAAGAGGAAAGCGCCATTCTACTATTTCCAATCTGTGTACAGCATACAAACATTTACTGGGATCAAAACTGTAACTGATTCGATGCAAATCTATTTAAATCTAGTCCACAGAAGTTTAACCTCTGAATAACCACATCTACATGCACTCCTAATCCCATGCACATCAATGGCAGCAACTGAGACACTTCACAAAACATTCTGTCAACATCATGGCCTTCAAAAAGGCATTAAAAAGGTCCGAAGAGAGAAGTAAAATGTTAGCCTTTGAAAATCTCTGCTTACTCATTGATGGCATTGCATGCACTACAAGGAATCAAGGTCTCGTTAACCTCATCTCATTAAAAAGACAAATGATACACACGTCTCACCAATAATCTTTATATAGTTTACAAAATAAAATTATCAATTGCAGGTGGGCTTCTCTCCGGCTGTTCAAGCAATTGGAGCATTGTCGCAAACTACATATTTGTGGTATGTTATTTAAGCAAGCATATGAAAACTTATGAGTATCAGGAGAATTCTAGAAAACTTATTAAAGAAAACATATAAATAGGTTACTTAACTGCAAGATGTGTGTGCGCGTACTGTATATGACCAAAAGGAAGAATCTTGACTAGTTACTTCTTAAAATACACACACACGTTGCCAAACTCAACAACTTAAAAAGTTCAAATAAAACAGCGCCATTGAATTAGCATCTATGGTAGCACAGAATAGAAATATTATTCTTTTAAAAAACATACCTCAAGTTCTGCAGCTGAGTTAAATGAATCAAAGCTCAAAGGCTCCTCTATTTCCTGCGCACTGGCACTTGTGTGAGTTTCTTCATGAGATGATGCTTTATGCTCATGCAATCCATCAGTTCCAATATCATTTGATTTGTTAGAATCCACCACATGCTCTGAGCTTATAAGATTAGTGGCTTGAGCAGCTGCTGAATCAAGCCTGTCAGCTTCACTAGAGTCAAGCCTTCCATCTTCTGCAGCATCGATTACCAACGCTGGAGGCTCCAAAACAGGCATAGTGACACCAGTTGCCATCTTATCACATATCACAGGTTCAACCAAATTGGCCGTTATGTTCTGGAGAGATTCAATGTTAAGACTTCCGCTAGAGTCTATTTTTCCTTCTACAACAGTCTCTTTCTCTTCTTCAGAGCAACTTCCACTGGAGCCTGCTACAGAAGATTCACCATCCCGTTTGCCACCAGTTACTGAACCTGAACTGCCTTCAGCTTTATTTGACTCTGAGTCATTCTCATTATTTAATACAGTTGATTTCTCGTTTTCTTCTTCGTCATCATTGCCATCGTCATCAGAATCATCACTATCACTTTCATTTAATTTCCTCTTTCCCATCCTAGCAAGAATAAATATCAACATCAAGACATAAAATCGTTGTGTTCCGATGTGTGTGTGTGGGTGTGTCTTTAAGTATACAGAAGAAGGAAGAGTAAACAACTGCCAAAATAGGCTCCCTAATCCCCATCCACCTCAACTCTAAAAAGGTAGTTGATGTCCCCGCCTTTTTTTTTTTTTAATTAGCCATATAGCACCCCTAATAATCAGAAAACAATTCGCTCTCGGACTTCCCACATCATTCCTCAATTATCTTGCCGCGTGAATATCTGATCGATCCTGTCTTTACCATCTAGATATGAATATATAATATACTGTATCAAAAACGAAACGATGTCCCTTAAAACGGCAAAACCACGTATGTGTTCGTATTTTGACCCATCTACAATATGCAAACAATGAATTATGGTTTTATAACATGCCTAAAATCATACTAGCCCATAGGCAAAAAGAGAGTCCAGAACATCAAATGTAGAAACCAAATTAAACAACTGTACATGTTAAAAAAAAAAAAAAAGTTGAAGCTTTCAAATATAAAGCGAGCTAAAGGGGCAAAACATCATACAAGAAGATAACTGAAACGAACACAAGAATAAAACACTAACCATATCTTCATCTTCTTTGCATCTGCTCGACCTTTTCCAAAATCTGGAACCTTTCTCTTGCCATTGATAGACATCAGAGCCTCCTTCACCGACTCGGCGACTTCAGCAGTGCATCGCTCAGACTCCTCCCTATATTTTGCCACATACTTGTGCGCCTCGCCATCACCCACACCCTTTTTACCCTTCTTCGCCTGCTTCTTCAAAAACTCTTCCGCAATCTTCTCCAGCTTCCTCTCCGCCTCCTCCGCCTTCCATTCCTCCAGTCTCTTCTCCGCGTTCACGTGCCTCAACCTTCGGCCACTCATATCTCTACAAGCCTCGAAGTTGTTCGTCTTCTTCTGCCCAGCCTTTGTGGCCGCACCACGCAAAAGCGATCCAAACCCTCCCTTGCCACCAGCGAGCCGCAGCAGCAGATGGACGGTGGGGAACACATCTCCGCCTTCCGGCGAGCAGGAGATTACAGATTCGTTACCGTTAAGGTCTCGGACGCCAGTAACAAGGCGCTGGTGTTGTATGGGGATTCTGGTAACCTCGAAAACGCGATCCTTTATGGAATTGGCATAAAGAATAGGAGATGGGAATTTTAGGGCTAGGGTTTTTCCGTCTAAGAGCTTCACGAAGAGATTGTAGGCCTTCGTGGTGACAATATGGTCCTCCATCGATGAAATTTCAGGCAGAATGATCGAGGATCAAAGTATTAGGCTATTAGCGAAATTTGGGAACAAGAACTTGGAGTCGGTGACGAGAGATTTCCAAGGAGAGAGCCTGTTGAAAGCCGATATATATCGGATAGGGCGTAACAAGATACGTTGGCAGCCCCAAAAAAAGAAAGAAAAGGAATACCCTTTTTTATTTAAAAAAAATTAATCTTTTTGTCTCGTTTTTATATGTTTGTGACTCACTCCTTATATTTTAATTTGATACAATTTAGTTTTTACAGTTTTGATTCGATTATAATTCAATTCTTAAAATTTAATTAACTTGATGTAATTTAATCCTTATAGTTTTATCTATTTTATAATTTAATCCTAATATTTTTGAAAATTGAAATCATATCTTTAATAAAAGAAGAGACTAAATTATAAAATAGCTAAAAGTATAAAGGTCTAGTTATAGCAAATCAAATTTTAAGAATTGAGTAACAATTGAACCAAAACTATAGGAATTGAGTTGCACCACCGAACTAAAATATAAAAACTAAATTGCAAATGAATTAAAACTAGGAAAAATGACAGATAAAGAAGCCCCAAAATGTGAAATGCCAATTTGGGAAGCTAAGGAAATGTAATTACCCATAGGGAAGTCCTTCCCAAATTGAAATTTTGAAATTCAGTAAAATGACAAAAATACCCTTTGTTCTTTTTAAAAAAAAACCCAGCCCCTCACCGGCGACCGACGACCGACCACGACTGACCTCCTGCGGCCGCCGACCGCCTCTGGCCACCGGCGCCGGCCACCAGTGTGGTGGCTGCCGGTGAAGGATTTTTGTGACAGATAATATTGGTTCAAAGTGGCGGGGGTGGGATTTGATCCCACAACCCTTGGCCACTTGGACCAACAAAAGGATGGCCATTGGGCCATCAAAGATTTCTTAACTTTATAATGCAAACAAAAATATAAGTTAACTCTTTTACTGTGACTCCAGCTCGTGACAACAATTTATCTGAGGATGACAAGTCTTAATTGAGAAATAACAAGTCTAAATTTGATATTAACAAAGCAACTTTTTCTTATACATAACAAATAGCAGCATGTGTATTAATTAAAAATGATCATAATTTATTTTAAAATGACACGTCTTTGCTGGAAAATAACAACAATTTATTCGGTATTTATTGTTATGTATAAGGAAAAGTTGCCTTGTTAATATCAAGTTTAGACTTATCATTTTCCAGTATAGAAGTGTTATTTTCAAATAAATTATGGTCATTTTTAATTAACGTAGATGCTATTTCTTGTTATGTATAAGGAAAAGTTGTCTTGTTAATATCAATTTTAGACTTATCATTTTCTAGTAAAGACGTGTCATTTTTAAATAAATTATGATCATTTTTAATTAATGTACATGCTGCTATTTGTTATGTATAAGGAAAAGTTGCTTTGTTAATATCAAATTTAGACCTGTTATTTCTCAATTAAGACTTTCATCCTCAGATAAATTGTTGTCACGAGCTGGAGTCACAGTAAAAGAGTTAACTTATATTTTTGCTTGTATTATAAGGTTAAGAAATCTTTGATAGCCCAATGGTCATCTTCCCTTTTGTTGGTCCAAGTGGCCAAGGGGTTGTGGGATCAAATCCCACCCCTGCCACTTTGAACCAATATTATCCTATTCTAAAAAAAAAAAAATCTTGTCACAAAAATCCTTCACCGGCAGCCACCACACCGGTGGCCGGTGCCGGTGGCCAGAGGCGGTCGGCGGTCGCCGGAGGGCAGTCGCCGGCGGTGGTCGCCGGCCACCGGTGAGGGCTGGGTTTTTTTTAAAAAAAAAGAACAAAGGGCATTTTTGTCATTTCACTGAATTTTAAAATTCCAATTTGGGAAGGACTTCCCTATGGGTAATTACATTTCCTTAGCTTCCCAAATTGGCATTTCACATTTTGGAGCTTCTTTATCTGTCATTTTCCCTTAAAACTATAAGAATCAAAAGATTAATTATCCTTTAAAAAAAATCTAGGAATACCTAATAATAATATAACGTCAGATTTGATCAAATTAAATTTATTGTTACTTCAAAAAGAAAAACATTTTTTCAGATTTGGATAATTATACATTTTGAATCTTATTATAAAAATAATTCAAGAAAATGATATTCAAAGTTTTAGCGATAAAATTATTATCCTTGAATCTTCTACAAGATTGAATGCTAGAGCCCAAAAAATAATTTTTTCCCCATTAAAACTAAAGTTTTGATGCATACTCATTTAAATACTCTATTAAAAATAAAAAGTATAATTTCTGCTCAGGGTGTGTTTGGATGAAACCAAACCATGGTTTGGAGAATAGCTTCTGAAGAATAGATTCTGAAAAAAATAGATTTTGGGAAGAATAGATTTTGTGAAAAAGTGATTTTGAGAAGTGTGAGTGTTTGAATAGTTGTTATTAGAAGTACTTTTTATATATACAAATTGGCATAAATTAATATGATAATTATAGAAAAAATATATTTTATGATATATTTTAATTTGAAGAAATAAAATTGTTAATAATATATTTTTTATTAACGTATATTAATAATATATAAGATAATATAATTAATAAATAATTAATATGTATATATATTTATAAGATATAAGATTAAATATGTTTATAAAAAATATATTTATAAAAAAATAACAAAATATATATCCTATAGGCTCTCACACTCTCCATTTTTTCTCCAAAAAAAAAATTTCTGCTTTTCCCAAAACCATGGTTTTGGAGTCAAAACCATGGTTTTAATTTTTTTAAGGGTGTTTGGCTAACATTTTTCCCAAACCATAGTTTGGGTCCCAAAACCATGGTTTGGGGTGCTTGTCAAACACACCCTCAAAATCTTGATTTGAAGTGAAGGTCACTGCTATATCTTTTTCAAAGTACTTTTGAAAGTGAGTAATTTTCCCAAAACTATAATCCAGTAAGATTACCGCGTTGCACCTCCTTGTTGAAAATACTACGTGACATTTTATAAAAAGAACTACTATAAACTCGTTTAGAACAGTTTATAAGTAGTTTATAAGTTATTTTTTAATAATAATTTATGAAATACGAGATAAGTATATGAAAATAATTTTGTCTTGCCTTATATAGTGTTTATAGAGATTTCTACTACTATGTCATACGGGGCCTATAATTATAAATCAAACCCATTTGTTGACTATCCATTGACCTAGTGACCAGCGTTTTTCACTCCTCTTTTTGCAGGGATTTCTGAATTCCAGTCAAAAACGTCGGCATGACCGTGTGCGTTTAGCTCGGCGATTATCATTTAAAAAAAAAACAAAAGACATTTTACAGTTATGCAGAAATCGTATTATATTCGCAGCAGAAACAAATCGTGTGTAAAGCTCTTAAAAACAACATCAAATTCAGAGTAGTAATTATATTCCTAGTCTCCAAACTAATATGTTTTTATGGATGATCCCTGAAATTAAAAGCTCTAAATCCCAAATCAGAGTTACAATAATGTCAACTAATAATATGAACAACAACTATCTCTTACTGATCACAACAATTATGAAATCCTAATGACAAAACACAGTACGAATCAGCAATCTAGTTATCTATGAATAACAAATTAAACCTCCAATTGGTTAAAAAGCTCTAGATGGAAGACTTCATTCTGGAAGCACTTATTGAAGGATCTTCTTCACCACTAAGCATCTCACTCAACTCTCTTGCAAACGCCTCCATGGCTTGAGCAGGCAAGCTAATTGGCATCCCAATGAATCTCTCTCCCTTACTGTTCCTAGATGGCATAAAGTTACTTGTTATCTCTGGAACAATGCTGGACAAACCGTAGGCTAGCCCACCATAAACGGCTTTGCCCCACCCTACATCCACATCTCCGAACCCAGCACGTGTCATATCCATCACCATGAACGACCTCACCGTCGTATGGTGGGGCCGTCCCTTCGCCACCGTGAGGTCTAACAGTGACTGAACATGCTCCTCGTCTACTGCAGCTTTCTCCTTTCTGATCAGTCCTAGAGCATACCCAAAATGGTTGTCCATGAGCTTTCCGGCCGCGCTGACAGCGGCCGGATACACGAAGCCGTTGCCGTAGTAACCTACTGGCAGCTGAGGCTTCAACAAGGAACGTACTCCCACGATTGACATCAGGAGAACTTCTGCTTCCGGCGGTGGCCGCAGTGCTATGGTACGGCAGCGCCATAGGCAAGCTGCGAGGACGTCAAAAGTGGGGGATTGCGCCAGATGGTTCGGAAGTTGGCGGCGGAGAGCGACGATTTGGGAAGGCCTAACGAAGAAGGAACGCTGAACTATGTCTTGTGGAGGCACTGACATGAAGATGGGATGCAGCTGGTTGATATAGGGCAATGGGTCGTCATATTCATGGTGGTTGCGGGTGACCCGTGGTGGGTTTCTGGCAGTCAAAAGCTCTCTGTGCCATACTGGTATAATGGAAGGCTGAGAAGATCCCTTGGCTATTACAGACAATGCCTTCAAGAATTGAAGAAGCCCAGGTGCGTCGGTCACGGCATGGTTCAGCCGGATGGCCAAGATAAAACCTCCACACTTAAGCCTCGTCACCTGCCGTATTCATGATCGAGTCAAAAAAATTTCATCTTGAATGTCTCAGGCATGAACTTGGATTACCATGTACGTACCTGTATAAGTAGGAGGGGAGAGTTAGTTATTCCTTGTGAACCAGGAACTTGGTAAAGGAGCTCATGGAAGCAGGGGAATGGAGGATGAAGAACATCACCGAACTGATCAATTCTGACATCTGCGTCTGCTTCAATGAACAGGACGCCTTCTGCCGTGCAATTCACGATGAGCTTACGATCACTTCCTTCCCTGATCCTTCCGGCTAATGGGTAGTAAAACACCAGTGTTTCTGCCAGTGCCTTCCCGATGACTCCAACTGGATCTTTTCCTTCCATTGATGGATCACGACGGTACATCACCATGAAAGGAACTTGAAAACGAAGACCTTCTTGGCTGTCTATGTCAGGGAGTGGGCTTCGCTGGAGCCACAAGCTCCGGTGGGCACCTCCGCACTGTAAACTCCAGGGAGGGAGAAGGATCAGATTGCAGAGCCATAATGTAGTTATGTGTTGGGGGACTGAAAATGAAGAGGATGCAGGACTGAGAGAGGAAAAATTATAATACATACTGGTAAGGGGATTAATTAGGTTCCAAAGTTTGGTGCTCTATTCATATTGACCCATCTAGATTTTATTTAGATGATTTAGATTTAATTTTTTAATTTTTATTTGTTTAAAATAATTATTTTAATATGTGTATAATATCAAGTAAAGATGATCTCTCAATTATTTTTTTCAAAAAATTATTTTTTCTATTTAAAAATAATTAATTAAAATTTTAAAATATAAACTGTTCAAATAAAATCTAAATGATTATCTGATGAGCTGAGGGTGATTATTAAGGTGTGATGAGTAATGCCACTGAATTTGATCAAGCACATGGGGTGAGCAATCATTGCAAAGTGAAGGAAAGGGTCATTTTTTGAGATATTAATCCTCTGTATATGACGTGAAAGAAACACACTCAGCTGATACCCCTTTGGTCGACGAGTCTCTCTTTTTCGCTCTCAAGCCAGTCTTGGCGAACCTGTTGTCGCTGTAATTTATCTCTCCATCTCCATACATTATGATCGAAGAATTACCATCTGATTCAGCAAAACAGGCCAGCTTGTTCGATGATAAAAGTTGCGATAGCAAAGAACTGAGTTTGAACTGCAGGTCTGAACATTGGGAGTGAGGATATCAAGAAGGGGTAAAGAGTGAAAGAATCAGTTTCGATACTCATCATACCGAGTATCATAATACTCATTAAATCTCAACCATTGATATTTAATATGGATGATTGAAATTTAATTTTTTTATACTTTCTTTTTTTAAAAAAAATATTTTATTTAATAGGTAAATAATCCAAAATAAATATAATCTTTTAATTGTATTTTTCAAAAAATAATTTTATTTAAAAATTATTAGTTAAAAATTTTAAATCTAGATCATTACAACTGTATCTGAATAGTGTAGATTTTATTACAATGATAAATATTACGATACTCATCAAAAATGATTCCAAAAAATGAAGAGGAGGAGGAAAGGAAAAGAAAAAAGAAAAAAAAGAGAGGAAATGGGTCACTTAAATCCAAACGAAGTCATTTTGTGGGATGAGCTATTGGTGCTCATAGATCCGCTGAGCATGTAGTTGTTATCTATCATTCTATAATTCATGATCCTCCGTTATTGTTATCTTTTCTTTCTTGGATGGTCTTTTTGCATTATTTTCGCTTGTTCTTTGATCTCATTCTATGCTTCCCTAGAGAGCCTGATTTCATTGGCCAGTCCAACGTCGTAGTTTCCTTTGCCTCCAACAAACCTCAATTTATTATGGCTAACATAGTTAAAGTCGATGGCATTCATGCGAACAACACTTGCCCTGCTGATTTCATGGCCATAAATCTTCAAATCCAGACGAGTATGATTGATTCTGCTTTCACCACTGACGTGAAGAAAATTGTTACTTTCGGAATCCTCTTACATTTATCCCACATTGGCAACACAACCAATCCAAGACATTTTGCTTATTGGTCACTTTGGAGGCTAAGAACAAATGGCACTCTAAGCTTCAGGTCAATTTGATGGGGTTTTATACATTGGGTCAAAATTTTCTTCTCTGCTTTTGAGTGTTAATACTCAGATAACAGCAGAACAGCTGTTTTCCATTGATAAAGCGGAGTCAAATGGTCAAGTACGCAAGTCGGGGGGGTTTGAGACGTTTGCTTTTCTTTCACTCTGGTATCACACATGCACATTCCCTCTGTAGTGAATTCATCGCTCTTCGAAATATTGTTGGTATTGCTGTCCAAATGTTTCCTGCTAATGGAGGTGGGCCTGTTTGGAGTATGGATTTTTTATATTGGACGGTGGATAAAGCATCAAGAGGCCCAATAGTATCAAGATATGTCGACCACATGTTTTTGGCACCCCTTAATGCCCTAAGTTCCAACTATTATTTTACGTTCTTGAATAATTTTTTTTTCCTTTTACAAATGTACTAATCCTCGTGGACAAGGATGCTCTTTAAGGGGGGAGTATTTGGTACATGTCAAGTTGTGTATTTTAGTTAGGACACGTGTTAATTCCATTGTATAACAGCATATTAGTTACTAAACAGAATTAGAAGTATAAATCTTCCTCAAGATGTATTAGAATGTTGTTGAATAATGTACTCGCACGTGTTATCTCTTTCTCTCTCTTTTTTATTTAACAATTTATAATAACTAGGTGTTGTCTTTCTTATAATACTCTTACCAATCACGTATATTAGTCATAACTACTATTTGATGAAACATTTAATATATGCAATTACCACTAAGATTATCTTAGGAGAAAAAATGGATAAATATAAGAGAGGGTTTTACATTTAAGATTAAATTAAATATCAAACTAGCTTTTATGTTAATATAACTAATAAGTATTTTAGCTGGAGCATCCTAGTTTCATTGGTTTTAATATTTATAGTTTCATATAATTTTTAAATTGATTCAATTCCTTTTTACAAGATACTGGTTGAACTTGTCTGAAATCTGAATATTAAATACATTTCTATCAATGTAAAAATAATGATATTTTGACAAAAAAAATCATCAAAATCTTTAAAACAAATCAATCATTTTAGGATTCATTTGGAATTACCATCGTAACCTTCAAAAATAACTTTTTAATCATGATTTACAAAAAGTAAGTATGTGAGGAATTTTATTTCGACTTACGTAAAAAATACTTATAAGTGTTTATATTTATTAGAATTTGTACAAAGGTTCAGCTTTTTACAGTGATAAGAGAAACTATGAAACATTATTTTTGCATGCGGCAGCTTCTGAAACATGCACACTCCACCGTTGAGGGAGCCAGGCAAAAATTCTCCAGCACAAAGTGCTAGCCACATACATATACATGCACATTGCCTAGTGACTTTGAGAAGTAAAGTCTGGCTCAGATGGCTTCTGAGGCAGCAGAGGCAGCAATCTCTGTGTCATTCTGCTGTTGTGTTCGCTGTTCTGTCGCAAGTTTCGTAAGGCATTTGCAGCAAATCTTGATGCATAAATGGTGGCACCAAGACTTGGTGTTGATGATGATCCACTCTCATTGGCCAATAGTCTTTCTTCTGCTTCACGCAATGACCTCTCCATCTTCTTTCTGCAGTAGCGACGCCAAGCTGCCTGTATGAAACAGGCACCCCACGTCTTCCATTGCAAGGAATAAAATCTGCAAAAAAAAAAAAGCATAGGTAAATTAGACTTTGTCAAATCATGTTTTCCTTCTCTAGAAAATTTTTATCATAGAAAAAGCCATACTACGTTTGATATTCATATTATACACATTTCAATCAGCATTATTTCCATATCAGGTCACCTTATGACAGTTCAGATTATATATGGGTTTTATAGATTTTCCCAGTATCCATGTTATTCAGTCTGTCATCATAGTTCTAATTTTCCGTTTCTCTTATGCTCAATAATGGTTGATCTTCTCATATGATGTTGTGAAGTGGATTTGATGGAAGATTATTTAAGGGAAAAACATTGTACAGTCCCATATAAGCAACACAAGTGCCACAAGTCAACAACATAGATTTGCTGTCATTTCCTATAAGATTTTTTTAGGGATTAAATTACTTACATAAGACTGTATAATAATTTTCGCATTATTGGAAGGTGTTGTTAGGATTAGCAAGTGTGAATGAAAGAAAACGTTTTGTTTATATCTGAATTCATGCTTTCATTCCTTTCCCTTCTCCAATTTTCCTAGTCCCAACATGCTCTAGTCAGATTCATCTATGAACCCCAAAAAAAAAACATAATATAGTTCTATATGATTTAATATTAGCAAGCCTTGCCTGAAAGTGTGCTGAAGCCGTTTGCTATGAAGTCTTCGAAATTGAGAAGTAACAAACTTCAAGTCATCAGGCATGAGAGCAAAAGCTTCAACTTCTGATATGGATTCCACTGTTCTTGTTGAAATGGGAAGATTTGAAGAGGTATTGGGGTCCAACGCCCATGTTAGAAGCTCTTCTCCACAGAAGTCACCAGCTTGAAGAACTGAAGAGTTAAAGAAACCAGTTCTTCCTCCATTTGTTGTCGTAGTAGCAAGCTTTCCTCGCATAATGAAGAGCATTTCATCGACCGGATCTCCTTCACGAACAATATAACTCTTCTCTGTATAAAGAATTGGCTTCAATCTATCACACATTGCATCCAACAATTGTTCATCCATTTTCTCAAATATTGGCACCTGAGTCAGTAAGACCACAAAAATGTTCATTGCACTTGTAGATTTATCCTCGACAAAAGCTAGAAACAATTAAACTTCTCAACTAGACTTAATAAGTCAGTCAACTTTTAAGTGAAACCTACTCTAAAATGCTTACATGTCAATTTTAATTGATTTAATCCACCTATCTTTTATAAATCGATAGGAATATCCTTATAAAGAGAAGAAGAAATGACTCCGGAGGATACCCACCTTTTTAAGTAAAGCCAAGCAAAGATGACGCTTTATGTCCCTTCTGAGATCTTTAGGAAGATTACGAATTAATGCTTCTTCTTCAACACCCCGATTTTCTTGCCATTTGTAATGTTCATACCGTCTGATTCTTTCCCTTAAGTTCTCTGGAAGCATACGGTGGGACATCCATTGCTCTGCATCTCTCCTTTTCACTCTCATCTCCTCAACTCTAACTGTAGTAGATTGCAGATATTTCTGCAAATAAATTGGGCACAATTCATGAATTCACTCAGAAAGATAAAAAACAATGCCAGTCTATGAATTTGAAGCAATGAAGAAGGAATATTTCAAAAGGAAAACAACCATGTTTGAGACATTTTTTGGTGTCAGAAGATTGTTTTTTACAAGATGTAAACACTGGTATCAGTCATGATGTTTCCTTGGTTTGAAATATAGTATGATCATGTTTCCTATGTTTAAGGAAACTAGTGACATCTAAATCCAACACAAATATAAACTGGATTCATTAGTTTATATTTATTATCTGTATTCTAAAAAAGGATTACCTGCATGTTTCCAATAAGCAACGAGAACAGGACTAAGCCAAAGACAGCAATGCAGATAGCAAAGATTATCTCCGGGACATAAGTACTTGTCTTAAGGTTCTGTCCAAGAGAACTAAAAAACAGAGGACAAAAACTAAGAAATCCATACAAACTAACCGAGCAATACAATAGAAATATAAAGGCTTGAAAGGTCATAAAATATGAACCTTGTATGTCAAAATGAAAGTGAAGAACAGAGAATATCATCCACAAACCTTAAATTGCGCAAACCCCACCAGAAGCAGTAGAAAAACTTCTGAGGAAAATCTGTTGTTGAATTAACCACACCAGATTGTAGAGCATCGGCATATATTCCAAAATTGAAGGTTGTTGAGTTGGTAATTTCAGAAGGATCAACAACGGCACATGAATCAGTGAGAAGTGAAACTACAGTTGCATTCTGGTTACCACAGCCCAGATAATTATTATCATTATATTTTGTACTTTCCAATGCTCTGTGCCAGCACCGAAGCTCTGATTGTACCGAGAGCAGGTACCAGAAGGCTCCAACCAACTGCTATGCCAAGTTTGCTTCGTTACAATAAAATCTAAGAATGACTCCTAGGAACATAGATGATTTTAATTTAATAACAACATAGATGATTTTAATTTAATAACGAAGTGATAAAATTAGCTTACATGACTTGCCAGCATATACAGACAAAGATTATAAGCAGCCCCAGCCCATGCAGTTTCTGTGAGTATGCCAGAAGTTCTTGTTACTTCTTTGAATAATGGGCGAATGCGCCAGACTCTTGGCACATACTGGATCAAGACCATATACGTCAACAAGTCCTTCGCCACGAATGGAACTGAGCTCTTCAGTTTTGGAATGATAAATAAAACAACCACCTGAATAATCAATCATTACAGTGTGTTAAAATAACATCATATTGCGTCTCTCAAAACAAACGTCTTTCTTACGACAAGGGGTTTAGTTTCCATGCTTTACAATATAAGGAAGTACTTTGGAGATGAGGGGAAGAGGGAGATACCTGTGGAAGTGGAAGAATTGATAGAACATCGATGATAAAGTATGTAGATAAGTATCTTTTCATGATAGCCCGAGGATCATTAACGAGCTCGCCCCTTCCAAATACCCGAGAAGAAGGAGCAATAAACCCAGTTTGAAACTGAAAGGTTATGTGAAGAATGTAGAAAAGATCGAAGAATGTACGAAGAACAGAAGCAATAATCTGCAAGTTTCCATTCAACTCAAGGCATTTGCCTTTGTCTCCAACCGCTGGGATGTAAAAGAAGAGTGGATCCACAGAGACAGCCATCACAGATGTGAATACAAATATTTTGTTCCATCTCTGAAGGAACGACCCCTGCGGATCAAGAATTTTTCTTCTAGGAGCAGATGTCTTGGGCGGTCTGTCACTTATAGGATGAACAGTTGAGGATTTTCGGAAATTTTTTATCTTATCAGACCCATTCTCAAGTCTTCTTTTGATACTATCTAAAGCAGCGCTTACGCTTGGTCTCAGTTTTCTTCCATGGTATCCATTATTGCTAGAATTTTTCTGCTCAGTATTAGATGATGATTCTGAACTCTGATCATCAAACCTACATAGGAGTATGAACCTAGTAAGTAGCTTCAAGCAAATATCAAGTATGTATTAGCCAAAAGTATTGGAAGGTAGATCCAACGTGGACACGCCACGTGGGTAGCAGGTACACGTAGACAAGTCAAAGATAAGTCTTGTTGATGCACATCTCCTATTAGTATAAACTAAAAATGACGCATGTTAGCCTCAGCTAGTTTCAACTTTCTCAAAAGTCTGCAAGGGGAGTTCATGGAAAAGGAACAGGCTGCCCTCACTTTTTGGCCAACATTCCAGACGACAAATTAATAAGTAGATTAATTTATAATACACAGAAGGCTTGGTCAGTAGCCTGTAGCTAGAGCACGTCCAACATGCGATATGAATATAGAAGGGCAGCCAATAATCCAGTTTATACCATAAGATTGGTAAATACCCAAACCATACAACTGCTGTATAGTAATCTAATACCATGATCATATTCGAACCCTTTATTGATCTTTTTGACGTCAAACTTTCATACTCAGAAGAAACATATGCTTCAGTGTAATTCTTTAGATTCCTCCATAAAATAAACCTTTTTGTGTTATGAAGAGATATGGCAGTAAAAATATCAAAAATCAATCACAATAAAGGCAGAAGATGGGCTTATCACTGCGTGCAGAAATATGCAATAACATTAGGAACAACTGAAATATGTAGCAGTTTGAGAGCATGAAGCGTGATTAAACGAACCTCACAAATTTATGTCGCTTTGAATCCATGATTAAACTATCTCCCAAACCGGGTAGAAAATTTTAGCTTAATCTAGAGGAGCACTTTGCCGAGTTCCACACAAAACAGAAACCTGCAAAGTACAAATTCAAGTAAGAGGTCCCTCGCCGAAACTTCCAAGTTGGTGCGCAATATAAGTCAAGTCAACTCAGTGCCATAAAAGTAAAAAAAAATAACATCCTTCCTTACCCACTTATTAAAAAAAAAAAGAAATTCAATAACAATATAGGACCGGAAACTTGTGGAATTGAGATTGATCAGATAAAAAGGTAGAATCAAAGAGAGGCTGGAATGAACTGAATGAACATATAGGAAACTTAGCATTGCAGGCCACGTAGCAGGCAAACAAGATTAAGAATAAACAAGCATATGTTGTTCAATTCAAGCTTAAGGATTCGACTTCGACCTTTTCTCAAACAGGGGGAATCACCAACTATTCAAGCATGATCAATTCACAAAAGAAAACAGAAACGAACCCAGATAAATAAGGATAGTAAACATGGCGCTTCTCTTGACCTCTAAGAAAGTAAAAAACTTGCAGAAAAGATGCAACTAGAAATCGGGTTTCAAGTTTGCTGCGTCTTCGCAAAGAAAAGCGAAAAGTTTGCAAAAAAGCATTAACTAACCTTAAAAATGGCGGGAGTGAATGAGGAGTGGAACGTATTCCACCCCTGCAGAATTATCTTTTCCCTTCTGTTCTTTCCCGGCCTTTCTGGGGAAAGCGACATGCAGCTAGCTAGCCTTGTGAGGATTGTAATGGCAGCTTTTGGAAGGAGGACAGAAATAAAAGAGAAGGAGAGGGAGACCGAGCCAACGCTGTGAGAAGAGTCAAAGATAACTTCTTCCCCTCAACTGAGAGGATGTCGAATGAAAATGACCCGTGTGCTGCTAAGTTTCCTGGTAATTTGTTCTTTGAAATTGGAAAACTTTAAATGCCTCGAGTTGACGTACAAAATAATGTTCAAAGACATATTTAGTATTCTACCATGAAAAAAAAAAAGTATAGCTCTCGACATGATTTCTTTTTTCGGTAGTAGCTCTCGACATGATTTTATTTATCCCTTCTCTAGTACTCCTTATCATACTATATATAAACTTCAAATAACTAAATCCCATTTAGTAAAATAGTAGTTAAAATTAGTTAAAAATAATAAATAAGTTAGAAATATTTTATTTAAATTTGTTCTTATTTATTAAGAGAGTAAATGAGAGAGGCAATAAATAAGAAATGATAAAAGAAAATATATGGGGGTAATATTAATAAAAGAAAAGGAGTACTAAATACAGTCAACTAAGGATAAAATATAAAAAAGTAATAAATGCTCAGACAAACTAAAAAATAAAGTTTATATTAAAGTTTATATTTTGGACCAAACTTCTCTCTACAAGTGAAGTTTATATATAATACCGGAAGGGGTAATAAACATAGAATTCTTGTTTGCATGTTCATTTTTCTTATCTTTATATTAAATATTATGTATACCAAACATAACTTAATATTTTACCTAAAAATAATCTTACTACAATAACAGAAAACGAATTGACATTTCTAATTTGACTGACTTGAATTTTAACATTACATATGACTGCTTTTCAAATGACTCGGAAGTGTTTTTTTACTGCAAATTTATTACTTCTTTCTTTCCTAAATTCAAGAGCTCAGCAAATTGTTTCATATTTTGTTTTTCATAATTATAATTTTTTCCAAACTATCATATTATGACACATAATTAAAGAGGTATTTCCATTAATGGGTGAGTTTACAATATATATGATCAGCATACCTTAAGAAAACTAAGGCATATTTTTTCATAAATAATTAATGTAACTAATTTTATTCATTTTTATAAATTAATTATCTAATTCTTATATTTAAGGCTGATAAATATTACTTCTATTTGAGAGCTTTAAATATATTTATTTTTATATACATGCAAGACTGAAGAACTAACATGTAGAATTTATAAAATTTAAAATACAGTTCTTACACTCATTGACTTTTAGAGGTTAAAACTTAGAGACGCCACAAATATAATTATTAAATCATTACGTTTATATGAACACTGAGAATTACTAATTGCGAAGGTGAGTCGTTCCCATTCTAGACGCCTCCCCTATAAGCTTGAAGGCTCTACAATAGAAGCAGTCAAATTTCCGATTCCAATTTCAACTATTCAAACGCGTTAATCAATTTAAAAGCTAAACAATTCATAATGTCCAAGCTTACGTCCATAATATAAAATTTAAAAAAGTTTAATTTGTAAAATCTTAATATTATGTAATGCTTGGTGCAGCGCAATATTAACAATTATATCATATAAAATAGTATTATAGGATGTTTGGTGATGTATAACTACTTCATTCGATCCTTAATATAAGAGTTAGTTGACTAATTTGAATAAATTAAAAAAAATTAGTCAAACTAGTTATTTGTAAGAAATAAGTGTCATCTTCTCCAAAATACCTTACTAATCATATATATCAGTTATAACTACTATGTGATCAAACATTTAATATTTGTAACTATTACAAGAACTATTTTTAAAAAAATAAATAAATATGAGAAATAAAGTAAATTATGATATTATATTTAGGATCAAACTGAAAGTTAAAATAGTCCTACATAACAAAAATTTAAGTATTTAACTACTTCTACCCAAAAAAAGAAAAGGTTCTTTATTTGAAAATAATCAACACAAGTAAAGGCCCAGCCTCCTTGTAAAGTCTTTTTTTTTTGGGGCTTCCAAGTCCTCTAATTTCATCACGTCATTGAAGTTTTTCACAATTTTGCATCCATGACATTTATATTTGATGCATATTTTCCAACAACACAACGGTCTTCAAATTTGTAAGTAGCTAATAGGATTTCGTTTTCAGCTTCTTGCACACGCATTGACCTTCAAAAGCGTGAATTATTAATAACAGTGCCTCAAGCAGTCAAACTCCCAGCTACTCCAACCGGTACATTCTTCTTTGACTTTTCCGGGGGATGAAAGTGATGAGGAATTAATTTGAAACACTATTATGTTTGATGGAAGAGGAAGTTGTTTTAAACAAAGTGTTCAAACTTCACAAATTTAAAATGAAGCTTTCACATTGTCGAAAATGAACGTGAAACCACAGATGCCAACCACAAGGAGGCTTAAAACAGAGCATGACTATATAAATGAAAAACAAGTGACTTTGAATAGGTCCGTCTGAATAAGGTTTTAGCTGATGATAATTATATTCAGATGCTTACATCTAAGCTCATAAGATTCTCTAATTTTTTTAATGATCTGTACTCTTGTCCTCTTTTACCATAAGTTATAATTAAGTAATGCAACTATTTTATTTATGTGTATTCAGAAATATGCAAGCTTTTAAGAGCTACAAAGCCCAAACATCTCTTTATCATCCTTGTTTGTTGATAATATCTGAAAAAGATTGTTACCGGAAATCTCATGGTTAAAAATGTTAAGTCTACGGCAAAAGGTAGTGTCTATAATTGACTTTGAAGTTGTGTGAAACTGATGATCATTCAAAAGCAACTATGAATTGATGAAATTGGAGGACCTTTCACTTAGAGCGCAACAAGGCTGATATAAAGGATTAACTCAGAACGATTCGCTTGAGTATAGAGCATTTGTTTCCACATACTGCATACACATGAACTATGATTACTCCAAACAGACTACTGATCTCAAATCAATATTGACAAATGATTCCACCCAATTCCAAGTTTGACTCGGGAAAAAAAAAAAAAACTATTGCTTTGTGGTATCGCAGAATGAATGTAGTTAATCACATTAAGTCATCGGTCATTGCATCTAAATTCCAATATATGTAAGATAACAAACATAAAAGTACATGAAAATGGCTTTTATTTTGCCATATGATAGCCCAAATTCAACATAACCAGAATACCCAAAAGCTCAGAGGAAAAGATAAGGGCCGTCGACAAAATGACTGCAACTCACAGTAACCATCATCTTTGCAAACTAACCGTACCCCTTTCTCACAGACCCCTGCCAAGTTCCAACAGAAGATAAGAACGCAGGAATACACACACAAAATAGAAGCACAGTACACACTTGACGTTTATGAAAATCACAAAGATCCTATGAGAAAACTATTTAAACAAGAGGCATGAAGATAAAATGGAATATTCATAAGTTTTGACCGAAGTATGAATTGAGAAGCGGGGAAAGAAGCTGAATGCTTCCACTTCAATGTTTAAATTTTGAAAAAGAAACAGTCACAATTTACCACTAGTTTGAAAGATGTCCCTAATATCTTACCCATGCAGTTCCAGCTTAGCGTGACGTTACTATTGCTTCCAAAACCAGAATTAATTGATTCAAATAGTAACAAATAGAAGAATGAAAAACTTCATGGGACCATAATCGGGGACAGAATTATTTCCTCAGTTTCAATCAAATTGCAGAAGACAATGAAGCAACATGATTAACATAGCATCTTTGTTATCTCAACTTATTGTCTCTCAGGAATCAATCAGCCACTAAAATATCATTGGAAAAAAAGCATCCGTGCGGTGTCCTCCTGTTCATATCTTATACTTGGGGAAAAAGTTTAGCCTATAGTAAAAGAGATGGTATTGTTCCCTAAAACCTTTTGAATCCCACCAGAATTTATTAAGAGATTCAACTAAAATCATAGATTTAAGGATTGTTTAAAAACAAAACGAATAGAAGCAATGCCGGAGTCAAAGTGCATACAATTTATGCCATAACGTTATTCTGACACTAGTATATAAGCCTCAAATTACCTGACTTTCTTGAGCAGAATGGACTTAAGTTTGCGAGCAAGGTCCTGTGATTGAATTTTTTGCTCCAATCTCTTCCGGGCCAATACACGCTTCTCAGAGTTCTTGATGTGGTGTCTCTGCACCTGTTTTATCATGCGCTCCATCCCACTTGATTGCATCGTGCGCTGCATAAGTGCCAGTGCCTTTTCCAAGTCGCCATTCTCAACCATCACCCGTATTCCTCTGCATTGTTGAAGCTGCTGCAGCTGATGACACCCATTGCCCAGCGGTTGAACAGTTCCAAGTGGCTGCCTCACCAGGCTTGATACATGCCGTACAATTGAGCTCATATCCAGGCAAAACTCCGTGCAATCGAGTAACCTTGGTATCAAGAACCGGATAAAAGAATCAGAACAGACGTAAATTTTCAAACGAAAAACAAACTCGGATCTTTTATATATGAATAGTTGATATAATATCCTTGTAATTTTTATTACAGACAATTTGTCGAAGATGCCTTAGTAAGCCAACTGATTCAAACAACTCCTCCATGGCCCGGAAGAATGGCAACTTAAAGTCAAGCCTTTAAATTGTCAGACATACCTCGAGCCAAGTCACTTCCTAGGTCATGCACAACAAATCCAACATTGCACAACAGAACAGTATAAGTCACTAGTAATCAAAATGAAGAGCGCAGAAGTATAATAGCCAATTACACACTATTGAAGCAGAATCTAGTAACAAAAGCTATTTTATAGGACAAAACTAAACTCAATCGTTATTCAAAAGCGACAATACTCAAACGATTACGGTATTACACCACCAGACTCAACACCAAATCAAAATGAAAAATTCAAAACAAAGCAGAGGGTGCGACGAACACAGGGTTGACAAAAACGCAGGGAACAGATGACGCAGGTAATAAATTCAAATCTAAATTCATAGCCAGATTGAACAAATCAATCTCATTGGATTCAGAGAGTAGACAGAGCCCTAGGGTTCGAACCTTCTTCAAAACTTGCCCGAGAACAACCACGAAGGAACGACAACCGCGGACGGCGTTCGACGGCTAGCTCGACCAAGTGTGAAGCATTTGTTCGTCGACAAAGAGAAAGGCATCCCTACTTGATACCAGAGGGGACGGGAGAGGATTTATAATTAGTTTTAGGGAGAATACTGTAAACTAATTCAGTCTTAGATAAACTTATTTTAAAAAATTGCAAATAAAAACCTTCTAATATGTAAAATTGTGATTTGAGATTTTGAATTTAAAAAATAATAAATAAGGACCCGGTCTTATTTTTACAAATATGAAATTGTGATAAAATATCTGAAATGCCTCTCAACCAAATGACAAGTTCAATTTAGCGAATGACAATTTCAGTAAACCAAATCACAATTACAAATATGAAATTGTGATAAAATATCTGAAATGCCTCTCAACCAAATGACAAGTTCAATTTAGCGAATGACAATTTCAGTAGACCAAATCACAATTTGGCTGAAGGTATGTCAAATAACAAGTTGACTATCAGAAATGACAAATTCATTTTAGCGAATGACAAATTCAGTAAAAGAAATCACATTTTTCCTGAGGGCCATTTCAAACATTTCACCTATATTTCATATTTGTAAAAGTGAGACCCGGTTCTTATTTGCTATTTTTCAAATTTAGGATCCCAAATCATAATTTTATATATTGGGGTCTTTATTTGCAATTTTTTCAAATTTTTTTATTAAATTATGCTCTAAAAGTATTATTATCTTTTTCGCATTTTTAGATTTTTTTTATATATTAAATTGACCTATCAAAATCACACTTTTCTTTCTTGGGGGAATTGAAATGAGATTCTAAAAGAAAATAATTACTAATAAGTCTCAATAATAAGTTAGACATTTTCTATTTCAAAACTTATCATTACAAGCTATTTAAACTATTATTGAGATTTTTTACATAAGTCAAAACAAAATTATTCTCACTTACTTATCTCATATTTTATAAATCGTAATTGAAAAACTGTTTATAAGACATTTCAAACAAACATTAACATTCAATCTCAACAAAACACAAGTGGCATTTTTACTAACTAATTAAATTTAATTTTAAATCCTATTTAACTATGCAAAAAAAATTTTAAAAACTCTCAAATGAAGTAGCTTTATTCATAATTTTTATGAGTTATTTTTATCATCTCGTGAAGCGGCATTACTCAAAAAACATAACCGATGAAACTTATTTTCATAATTTAATATTAATAGTTGGCAAGAAAAAACATAGTATTAACCCATCTCAACAGTACATTTTGTATGGTACCACGTCATTTTTATTGGGTATTATTATTGTTATTGTGATTATTTTCCTCTTAAAATAATTATTTTTATGTTTTATGAGACAAAACTTATCTCATATATTTACTTTAAACGCAAATTTATTATCTCAAGCTAATCAAATCGACAGTTCATTGTTCTCATCATCATCCATTCTCCCCACTTTTTTTTTTTTTGCTGTTTCAATTTGAATTGTAAATCTGCCATATAAAATTCTGTTCAAATCAATATATTCTTTAACTGCAAAATTTTTATCGAGTCATTATTTATATTGCACATTACACAAGAAGAAACCGATGTTCATGTGTGAATAATAAAACTCCCCTTAGAAAAACCGGAGGGGGATGGGAGAATTGGGCTGAGCGGCAGGCTGAATCACAAGCCACATTCCTAAGTTATCCAGCTTCTGTACTCTTTCATTTTTATTTTTTTAATTCTAACATTACAATATACTTTAGGACATTAAATCTAAAATCATCCGCAATCAATTAAATTTAATAGACTAGGAGAGGAGAGGGAGATGGAAATGGAGACAATCTGAATTAATTCCTGTGAGTACTCCATCTCCGCTTGTTGTGTTATAAAATATGTCATCTTTGGCTAATAACACCGTATGGAACCAAGCATGTTAAAGTGCGTTAATCCTGCAGACACCCCATAACATAAGCACTAGTTCAACTGACAAGGGCCACTGGAAATTTTAGTAGATCACATGACAACAACATTTTTTTATCTCAAATTCAGGTCTGCACTGAAAAATGAAAGTTCAATCCATTCTCATCATTTATGGAAGCAAGATTCTGTTGTATTAGAATCACATCAACCATTTCATTAAGAGGCTACCACCTATCCGACCAATATAAATATAAAATCCAAAGTACGTCCTCAACAAAGCCACTGACTCCTTTTTATTATAACAGTTTTCCTAAAAGAATCCTAAAGGTTGCATCTACCAGCAACCATGGCACTTTCTATCTGCATGCCTATGATATGGAGCAGCTTGCCAACAATTTGGCCACACAAAGCCTGCATGACAATGAAAACTAGATGACACGTGCTAATCCTAATTTCACCTATGCTAAGAGAATTTGATGCGACACCAATTGCCTCACCTTTATTCTTTAAGGTTTCTCCTCATCTGACTGAGAGCATGGAGGATCAGAATTAACGAAGAAGTCATCCACTGAAATAAAAACAGATATTGCTGTTACAACCAAAAATTGAACCTTAAGTAACAACTAATAACACAGTTGTTATTCGAATTTGGTTTATCCCTTATTATTCATCAAGATTTTGATATCCCTAGTCTCAAATGTAAGACACTAATACCAACCTCACGCAAACCAGTAAAGTTGTTAGACTAATTTAATTCGTAGCAAAATGTAATACATTTTCCCCCAAATTAGCTCTCAATTTATGGTTGGCATTTCTTCTTATGAATTCCAAATTTCTCATGTTTTATTTAATGAGTCGCATTTTAAGGGAAAACAAGCATTGAGTGACCCAGCAAGGGTCTTACATTCTGGACCACCAAAACACGTGTCTTGTATATGAAATCGGAGGTAGTATTTTTTATACATTAAAAAAAAAATCTACACGATTATCATTACCTATATCCTGTTGATCTGGAGATTCCAGCAACATGTCTGAATCAGACGGCAAAAACGGTGAACCCGGATAGTTTCCCAGGGCTCCTAGATCTGCAACAATTTGAGATGATTCATACTCAAACAGAGAAGATGTACCCGGTGGGTAAACATTATTACACACTTTAGTTTAGTAGTATCCTGGACCAATTTCAAGAGATTCGCCATAAAAAGGGATTATTCATCTATTAAACGTTAAGTGTTATCTTGGAATTCACAATGTGAACTACTTCACAAAACCTCCCTCCTAGAAGTTTGCCCACTGAAAGTTAAAAATATCTATAAAAAATATATCAAATATAAAAATATCTACAAAAAATATATCAAATAAAATACCTCCCAAGTTTGACAAATCTGCTGTTAGATCAGATAGACTGAAATTCCACTGTATTTGTTCTAGCGATCTGGAAATTCCATTGCTGCCATCAGGTGTGAGTTGCATTCCAACTGAACTTGCCACATCAGTCGTAAATGCTGTGTCCAGAGCTGATGCATCTGTGCCCATTCCTGATATTTCTGATGCGGTGAAGGGAAAGTGACCACTGGATGCCACTGATGTAGGACTCACCGCCATTTCTGTCATGGTACTATTTGGCGGAATAACAGGAGCGATGTCAGGAGAACTATGTTCCATCACCATCCTTCAACAACAAAAAAGAAGCTTCCTTTAGCAGAATTTCTAGCAAGCAAAAGACTTCAAACACAGCAGTAAGAAGTTACTCCGCATTCTACTAATTAAAGTGATATTCAAGTCCGTGAGAGCTAAAATGAAAAATTCAAGCACGGCATGCATTATGCGGAAACACTCCAAACATGCATAACAATAACAACTTGGTGTTTGAGCTAGTATAGTTTTAATAGATCTAGCTTTTTAACATCCCGGGCAAAGATATTTTAAATAGCCTTCAAAACATGACGATGACCAGTTTAACAAACAATTAGAAACAAGTTTCAGTTGCACAACTTTCATTGACCAAGCCAATTGTAAATTCTGCACAAAACAACACTACTTTCTACATTAACGAAAAAACTGAAATAGGAAAAAGAGCCACGGAATGAAAAAATTCATCAGGCCAAAAGAAAAGGAAGTTTCAGTGCTCTCGTCCAATGAATGACTAAAATAAGAGGTACAGCTAGATTAGTTCTCACTCATTTCCAGAATTCATTCGAATGGGATGAAAATTGCTTGGTGCAGGGACTCCATTAACCACATGACAACTTGATATGCCCATTGAGTCAAGATGTGGTTGACCTGCCGCTGGCATGTGAGGTTGCTGTAGAACTGGGTATCCCATAGGTAGGTTATTGACTGCACTGCAAACAAGCGGTGTTGAAGAATGATGGGAGCAAAACAGAAAAATAAAAGCAACAAAGTGAGCACATTATGCAACTATTTTCTAGAAGATAGAAAGTGTGTGCAAGTGCAACACGCTCTAAATGTTCTCATGTTAAGCAATAATATGGAAAAACAAACCCCCAGAAATCCGCTGATGTCAATTTCTAACTAAAATTTGCTCATCTTGGGTAATACAAGGTCCGAACGTAAGTTTCAGATTCATATCTAATTAACCCCACCATTTTTCCCGTTTTCTTTTTTGTTTTTTGGTAAAATCATTTTTCCTTTCTTAGTTGACTTAAAAAAATTCAAACATATTCAAATCTAAAGCCAATAACTAAGACATGCCAAAGATCATAACTCAATGCCCGTTGAAATCTAAATTAGATTAAATCAGCTGTTTTATTAGCAATACCAAGGATTTGCAAAGAATCGTGAGTTTAATCTTTTAACAGATATCTAGCATTACCTATCTCTTAGATTACGCATGAAAAATAAATCCTGAAATAACACAAGCATTTAGTATAATTTATTGCTTCATTACCACCGTACACTCTAAAGGCTATTAAATATCCAATGACAGACACGAACCAATGATATTTTAAGTCATCATTGGGTTAAATGAATATCTAAGAACTCTGAAACTGCCCCGTGTTTGTCTTCCCTTTCCTAAAATGGAAGGACACGTCAATTCAGAATTGACCCTTGCCATAAAAGCCAGAGCCTGATCCAATTTGTCAACTAAAATGCTAGAAGTGTAGTTGGGAGCATAATCATGCGATGAGAAGAGCTATACCATAACATAGAAAACAAATAAGTTCCATCACGTTTA